TTCACAATAGAGTGTAGTGCCCCATTCACTCTATTCCCTGCATTTACTTGTCGTTCTATATCCTTATCATATCTACCATCCCTGCTAAATACACATCCCAAATACACAAACTCATCCACTTGCTCAATTAACTCTCCTTTTATTCTTATTTCACATACCGTTTTGCTTTCCTCTCTTTCAAAAACCATCACTTTCGTCTTACTTGCGTTCACTTTCATTCCCCTTTCTTTTAATGCCCAGTTCATTAATGTAACCATCATTTGCATCTCAGCCGCCGACGACGCAAATATGACTTGATCATCGGCATACAAAAGGCATTTGACGGTTAACTCGCCCATTCTTAACCCACATTCTTCATCTTTCAAAGTTTGCAAACACTGTCCATAAATAGGTTGAACAGTCACGGGGAAGCCACACAGCCCTGTCTGACACCCTTTCGGATGCCAAACCAGTCCGAGTAGACCCCATTGATCCTGATACAAGCACTAGAATCCCTATAAAGAGACCTCAATGCCTGTATCAAACCAGCGCTCAACCCATATTAGTTCAGTATTTGCAATAACACAATCCTGTCCACTCTGTCATAAGCCTATTCCAAGTCCATGAACGCACAAAAAACTTTCTGGTTTTTAGCCAAAAACTTCTCCGCCAATCATGCGCATGGAAAAGACTTGATCTGTACACCCCGTTCCCTTTCTTAAACCCGCTTGCACATCCCAATTTTTTTCCATCAGTTTCTTTCATAACTCTTTCAATTAACACCTTAGCATACAATTTACCCACAATACTAAGCAAGCTGATACCACGGTAGTTTTTGCAGTCCTGCTGTGACCCTTTTCCTTTATATATTGGTACTATAACTGCTTTACACCAGTCATGCGGCACCCGTTTTAATTCCCAACATAACTTAAACAAGGTGCACAGCAGGCCTGCCACCACTCCCTCTCCAGCCCTTAGCATCTCGAGTGATACTCTATCCAGCTGCCTTACCTGCTTTTCATTGCTTTCATTATTTCATCTACACTTATCTCCATACCCCTTTTCACTTCTTTCGGAATTTCTTGTTCATTTAATTCAGACGACTCTCTTCACTCATAAACACGCTTTCAAAGTATTCCTTCCATCTGTTTAAATTCGAAACTTCATCATTCAGAATACATCCATTCTCGTCTCTTATAGCATTAATTATAGGCTGCTTTGTATTTCCCCTGGCAGTTCTTACGAGTTTCCAGAACATTTTTATATTAGCCTGAAAATTATCAGATATCCTTCTATCATTCTTATCCGTTCTTTCTTTCTTTTTATTTTCAACTACTTCTTTTACTCTCTTATTTAGACGTCTAAATTCTGCCTTTTTTCTTTCAATCTCATCATTCATACCACCAGAATTACCAGCTTTAGTTGCTAGTAAATCTAACCATACTTTCTTCTTTGATTCAACTTCCACCTGCACCTCATCATCCCACCACAACGTATTACTTTTCCTTTCATTTGTTCTCTTACTTACACCACATACTTCGTGGCTGCATCCACCAAACCTTTCTTAATATTATCCCACACAGTATTCAAGTCTAAATCATTCATACAAAACTCATTCAAACACCTAATATTTTCTCTCAGTCTACATTTATACTTCTCTTTCACATCTTCATCTTCTAACTTCTCTATTCTTATACGCTGTAACGCAGTGGTAGACACAGATGTGCGATGCTGCCAACGCTTGAAAAGACCATTAATTCGACATAAAACCAAGTAATGATCCGTCCCTACGTTGGACCCCCGGTAAACCCTTGTATCTGTTGTCTTGTTTTGACACGTAGGATGCAAGAGAAATCGGAAAGATTCTTATGGGAGGCACAATGTGGATTTAGACCTGGAAGAGGATGCACGGATCAAATGTTTTCTCTCCGCATGATCACGGAGAAGCTTCTGAGTGTTAACCAGAGGATTTTCTGTGCTTTTGTGGATCTGGAGAAAGCATTTGATAAGGTTATAAGGAAGAAAATGTGGGAACTGTTGCCGGGATATGGTGTGGATGGTCGATTGTTAAGGGCTGTGCAGTCACTTTACTATGACTGTAAAGCCTGTGTGCGGGTAGGGCATGACCTGTCACCCATGTTTAACGTCCAAGCGGGCGTAAAACAGGGTTGTGTCATGTCTTCCTGGCTGTTCATACTGTATCTCGACAGCTGTTTACAGAAGCTTAAAAATAGGTGTTTGGGTGTGAAATTGGGTGATATAAAAGTTAATTGTCTGCTGTATGCTGATGATGCAGTGCTTATTGCACCATCAGAAGCAGAACTGCAGGCATTAGTCACGTGTATGAAAGAGGAATGTGAAATTAAAGGTCTCCGTTTGAATGCTAATAAAACTAAGGTTCTGGTATTTGAAAAGGACGAAGAGAGAACGAAATGTGAAATATGGGTAAATCAGGAATGTCTAGAACAGGTAAATGAAATTGTATACTTGGGGAGTGCTTTCAGCCGGGATGGAAGATGTGATTTAGATGTGGATAGGCGTGTCGCTGCCGGAAACAAACTCAATGGTGCCCTGAATGCATTAGTAAAAAGGCAAGGCGTGGTGAAGTCTGCGAAGAATCGACTGCGCTCCTCATTCTTTCATTCACAATTACGAAATCTATCATGCTTCTATCATCACCTCTTTCCCATGTATACATGTGAATCTTCTTATCACGAAAAAAAGTATTCGTCACAAAGAGATTCTTTTCAACACATACGGTGAGGAGGTCTTCACCATTCTCATTTATACTTTCATCACCAAACGTTCCCAATATCCTTTCATAACCAGACCTCTTCAACCCAACCCTTCCATTAAAGTCTCCTAACATAATAATATTTTCATTTTCCTTACATTTTTTCAACACCATCCTTACCACGTCCCAAAACTGCTCTCGGATGTAAGTGGGCTTAGACATGTCTGGAGCGTACACCCCTAGCAAGAACAGCTTCTTTAAGCCCACTTTCATTCGTATCCATAGCAGCCTCGGGCTTACACATTCATACTCTTTCACGCATTGACCCATTCTTTCTGAAAGGATGAAACTGACTCCCTGACATGCCCGTTTGGTCTCGTCTACACCAGACCAATACGCGGTATACGTGCCATGTGCAGTGGCATCGTTTCCTTTTCGTTTCGTCTCATTTACACATAACACATCTATTCCTCTGTCATTCATCATTTCGCATACTTCATCCATCTTATCATTCATTGCTCCACATACATTCAGCGTAGCCAGACGGGCTTCCGCAATCCACTTTTCGCCCCTCCGGGAGACAGAACGTGACGGGTGGCGAACCTCGTCGCCGGTTTTTCTCCCGGAGTTTTTTAAAAAAGTATAATAATTTAACGAATACATACCGCACTAAAAACTGTTAATCAGGATGCAGTAGAAAAAGATAAACCTATGCAGCGCAAGGTAGCACAGTAAACTAAAGTGGCAATGGGCTGGCCATATAGCTCGAACAACTGACAACCGATGGGGAAACAAAATATCCCTCGCACCAGTAAGTGAAGTGTACCCCCCATCCCACTCGATGTTGTGATGACCTGGTAAAAGATACTGGAAGTCAGTGAGCAGAAAAATGAATTCAGGTGGCTTAAGAATGCGTAATATTTTCTTGGAGTGTTTATTTTTATTGTTTAAAACTAGATTACACCGAAACAGGAAATGAACTCTAAGACTATGAAAAGACCGATTAAGCAAAATAATTGCTTGCACTAATAGCCTAGCAATTTAGAGCATTGATTCGAGGCCTATCAATGGTAATTGAGAGTTTTCGGTTGGAGTATCGATCAAAGTCTACGATGTATTTAGCTCCAGAATGAAACCTTGAAGCTTATAAATCACGCAAAGTGGACGGGTATATAACAAGTTGTTTCAATTAGTTAACTGGACCAAAAAAGGGAGTAACATGTTCATAACTAGCGGTTTTTCATTTGACGGGCCATGTAAAAAATCATTATAACAAATAACATGTAATTTACAAGCAGTTTCAATTAGTCAACTGAAACAATTACTAACGGAATCAAAATAATGAATCACATTTTTCATTTTAGACGATAATGAGATTGTATCCTAGACATTTAAAAGGCTAAAAATGAGGTGGCATAGAAACTTCGACTTATGAATGTTAAATCACTATATTCCTTTTAGTTGTTTGAAGTCATCGCATTGGAGAATCCAACACATCATTTTACCCGGTGAGCATGACTTTCAGTTTTTATGACAATCACAGGATAAACCTGTGTAAAAAAGTATGTGTTAAAGGTGATTTTGGAAAAACCCAGAAGAACTTTGCAGTGACCAATCTATGGCGGTATAACCATCTTTTAATTATATTCCATAAGCTTTATTGATGGCGCAGCGATTTAATAACGAGTCGCCGCGATGAATGCCGCGAATTTGCTGCGTACACGTAGTAAGTATTTGTATGGTCTACAATATTTTTTTAAGAAACGTTACTAGGCCACACTAGGGTTTTCTCCCGTATCGTGGGGGCAGTTTGCATACATAAATTTCACATGGACAAATATCCAGACTCGGAACAATTACTTGAAGACCATACGAATTATATATTGTACGACCACGCGTTATTGTGGACGGACGTATTCAGACTATCGAGGGATTTTTAAAAGAACATTGCAAACAGTAAATATTTTTGAAAATGTATCTTATTGCTATAGTCATAATATTGAGAATCGTAGTCAACTTCGATGATAGACGGGTGCAGTCAAACATCAGTCTACGTGTAACTACGATCCCCACCTCTACACACAAAGATCGGTAATATATCAAGCTATTTGCACATGCATAGATTAATGAACGTAAAGAAGTGATATTTTTGATAATGCAGCGCTCTCCAACAAACAAAAGTTTTGATTCCGATCCGAATCTATCCAACATTGTCGCTTGAAAACGCAAGTATGATCACGATATTTCAGATTCATTCAAATTATGCACTGATAATATATTGAAAAAGATGGATGATTGGAAGACAGATTTTAATAATAATTTACTTCAAATAAATGACACTATAAATAATTTGATTAAGAACGACCTTGCAAAACTGAACGAGATTGTAGTCGAGTTGAAGGCAGAGATCAATAATATGCGTAATGAATACACAGAGATTAAGACTGACATAGTAAGATTAAAAACTCAGCAAGTGGCAACACAAAAAGAAATTAGTAGTCTCCAGCAGTCGGTACAATTCAATGCTGACCAGCAAGACGAGCAAGTAAAAAAAGATTGAAACTTTAACTGTCGATACTAAGAAAACACGTGAAATAGAGATGGAATTTGTTAAAATAAAACAGCAAAATATGCAATTACAATCACAACTGAACTCAAGTGAACAGAGAGGGAGATTATCAAATATTTAAATTGTCGGTGAGCCGGAATGCAAAAGCGAAAATCTTCAAGACCTTATCTTGAACATTGGAAAATATATTGGTGTCGGTATTCCGCCAAATGATATTTTACAAATGAATAGAGTTTCTCCGAAAATAAAATTACAAGGTCGTCCCAGAGTCATAATAGCTGAAATGCGAACAAGGCTCTTGAAGGACAACATAATTTCACGGGGTCGCAAAGCTCGGATTACCTCAAGAGATATCGATGTAACAGGAGAAAGCAGACCCATATATATTAACGAACATTTAACACCCTTTAATAAACAACTATTGAAAAAATGTAAGGAAATGGCCAAAATAAAACAGCATCAGTGTCTGGGTAAAAAATGGATTAATATTCGTGCGAAAAAACGACAACTCTCCCGCTTTAAGGATCATAAGCGAAGAGGATCTCAAGAAACTAAGTGTTTCCAAATAAGTATTCTCTTTAATAATCTTTTCTCGTTGTTAAATTTATATATTTCCGTATTATATAATGTGTATTGTATTTATATCGTTAATTGTCTAAGATATGTCTCAATAGAGAAAATATGCAATTGGATTTATTGAAAACGGGCAAAAGGAGTGCCTCGGGGTTCATACTATATTTAGTTTAAATTCTCAATATTTAATGTTTATGAAAAAACCTTTATTTGCCAGCTCTGTTCGGAATAGGTACTCTATGCTAGAAAACACTTACACTACTTACAATGTTATTTGTACGCTTAATTAATGTGCATCGAATTGTGCACGGTCACATTTCATGTACAAAAGCTAACATTACAAAAATTTTGCAGAATGTAAATGATGCAGCTAATAAATTATTATTTCTTTGTCATAATGGCACTGATAACAAAAATTATCTCTTTCCTAAAAATATAATTTACTTTGCATATTTCAAACAAAATTATCATAAACTAACATTAAGCCGTTTAAAAATCACTGTTTTTAATATATTAATATTTAACATCAAATTCTATACATATACGTTATCACTGAAATCATTTATTGCACCTGTTTATTGATCGACCTATAACGCATTGTTAACTTCATTGTCATATTTATCACTGCTAAAAGAATATTTGTGCCGGAGCGTAAAAATAAATTCTTGCAATACCTTCAAATAGTTAATAATAATGCATTATTTAAACTTTCAATATGGATTTATTTATACATTTTATTCGTTCTGTTTACATTAGTGGGAAATTTAAATATTAACACATATTTATATACATGGTTTACAAAGGATGAACATATAATACGTTATACTAGTTCGATATTTATATCAAATGAATCAAACACGAAAACTATTCATCGCTTTCTTCTGTCAACCTATAATCAACATCACTTTTGTACACAGTATTGTAATCTGTGTTTTTGCGTTTCAGCCCCTCTATTTTACAAAACAATTATATTTATTAGTAATATTTTCCAGTTGTATAATAACTTTTATACTATAAGTTGTAAACAATTGGTAAGCATTGTAAGTTCTAAGTTCGATACGTTAAATAAAAGTAAAGATCTAAAAATATATTATCAAAATACACGGGGGCTGAGAACTAAATGTTTGCAATTACGACAGCAGATTTTAAGAAATGATTATGATATTATTGTAATAACTGAGACATGGTTGCATAACGGGATTTTCGATGGAGAATTATGTGACGATCGGTATGAAGTTTTACGGTGTGATCGAGACTTATTATCATGCGATAAAAAGACAGGAGGCGGGGTCATGATCTTTGTGCGTAATGAGTTATGTGGAATTCCCTTAGTCACTGAATGTCTGAATAACTGCTCACTGCCTGATATGTTAATGCTGTTAGTACCGGCACATGCAATTTCTGCTACTGCAGATTTGTACATTATTGCGATTTACATCCCTCCTAATGTTTCACATATGCCAGTTGAAATAGATTACTTACTGCAAACACTAAAATCTGTGGTAATCTCAAATAGTACTGGTAAAAATATTTTAGTTATCGGTGATTTTAATCTTCCATGCATCTCATGGAGTACTCAGGGCCCAACACATTTAAATAAAGGCAATGCTGAAATTAAAAGTGCTGGTGTAAGGTTAACAGATGAACTGAGCTTTCTCGGTCTCAAGCAATATAACAGTTTTAAAAATTATGCCGGTAATACTTTAGATTTGGCATTTTCAAATCTTCCACTTGAAGTCGCAATTTGCAACTCGCCCCTTATAAAGGTTGACCGCGCCCATCCTCCGTTAGCACTGGAAATTTTAGACGTCTCAATCACACTGTTTACTGAAGCATCTAAGCCTAAATATGATTTCAATAAAACCAATTATGAGAAATTAAATGAAACTCTAAATAGCATCGATTGGCGAACACAATTACAATCTACCACGGTCCAAGAGGCTTGTGATAACTTTTATAATATAATAAATGATGCTATATGCCAACACGTACCTCTTAAGTCCTATCATAATAAATAAAAAAAAAGGGTACCCCTTTAAAAAAATAATTAAAGAAAAATCAAAAGCACACAAAAAATTACGGTCTGGCAATTTATTAGATTATGACGAGTTTTCATTATTACGTAAACGACAAAATCGGGTTCAGGATGCTTGCTTTACTATATATACTCAACGTACCGAGGAAGCCATTAAATACAAACCGAGGTTATTCTGGTCATACGTTAAGTCTTTGCGTGGTGTATCGAATTATCCAAAACAATTATCATACCTTGGCAATAAAGTAACGGGTGGTAAAGAAATATGTGATACTTTTATTACTTTTTACAAAAACGTTTTCGGCGACCCTTCTGATAAAATATTAGAAGAAGACAATGCCACTTCTACATATGATAATATATCTAAACTGTTTATCCCTACATCCACTATTGAGAAAAGACTTAGACTACTTGATATTTCTAAAGGAGTAGGATGTGACGGCATTCCCCCTTTATTTTGGCGTAACTGTGCTAAAACTTTGTGTGTCCCTATCGCTATCATTTTTAATATGTCTCTTAGCGAAGGTGTATTTCCGGACATCTGGAAAAGGGCACATATTGTTCCTGTACATAAAAAGGGAACTAAAACTAAAATTGAAAATTATAGAGGCATTTCAATTTTAAATACTATTGGCAAAGTTTTTGAGAAAACCATTTATGATGTTATATATCCCGTAATATGTAAGGGACTGCCAAAAACTCAACACGGATTTCTAAGGTATCGTTCTATTATTGTAACGTTGCACGTACATGTATGCATAATTATAATTAAACGGTTTATTAAAATTAAATAAACACTTAATAAACTAAATAAAAATAAAATAAAAGTTATTAACAAAAATAATTCTATAATTAACTTAGGTATCCTATTAATAAAACAAATCAGTAAACTAAAAGAACGAATTAAATAATAAATCAAATATTAAAATATAGTATTTCGAACAAACACTCTGACGCTTCGTTACTCTATGCGCTTTGCAACTCTCGCGTCAGAGTTTTACCCGGCCGGTATCATTCCACGGCGTCGCGCTCCCGGTCATTCTCCGCCCGAGCGCCCTGGGAGGCGCACACTACCACTGCAGCCGCGTTCACAAGCTCTGCTTTGTGTCCTCGTACGCGCTTGCAAATTTTAATCCCATTTTGGAAAAAGTTTAAAATAATATAATAATTCCGGCACTTATGGCCGTATAGTTTTTTCGTTAATTCTCGTCACCGAGACCTCCGTATCGTCTTGCACCCCGTAAGGGTAAGTGTTGAAACGTTACCTAGTTTTAAGTAGTGAAAGTGTTTTATAGGTAGTGTAATTTGATCATGCCAGGCTGTTTGCTTTTAGCTATTTAATTGCCACGTTATTAGTGTTATTTGCATGTAAGTAATGTATGTAGCCGCTGTGTGCGTTGGCAAAAGTACCGTTACAAAATGGCTTCTCATACATTTCGCACCGCGATCAAATATCGCAAGTCACCATCATGTTTCAACCAATGCACAGCCTAAATTAGTTATCCTGGTACATTTAAACAGTATTTTACACTTGCCGTAATTTTAATTCATGTGTATTTTAATTTGCGCCTCACCGCTATGACGCTTGCCTTCCATTCCGCCTTGTAACTCCGTTCTGATTATGAACACCCGTCAGCTACTCTCTGTGCTCCCATCTACTGCTAGCCTGCGATATACCGGGGGTTCATAATCGGCGGCATTTTATTACCTGGACCTAAATGTGGACGACGTTGTTTCCAGGGTGCAATTTTACGACTACAACCGTGGCGGTCGTCCTTCTTAAGAGGGCCTAGGCCTCCCCTCGACGCCGCCACCGCCACAGCCAGCTGCCCACGGCGCTCCCCGTGAACAGTTCAACCCCCGGCCCTGCTCGACCACCTCGCGGCCACATAGGGAGTACCTGACCCTGCCAGTGAAGCCAGACGGGCATTTTTTTTGGAACCACGCCCACGACCTTTTCTTTTACCAATATATAATTTTTTTTATGACTGGTTGTTGCCTTATTATAAACATCAACCTTATCACTATCACTAATCTGGCGTGCTTTTCTGACTATGTTTTGTCTAATATGGATGGAGGCGATCAGATAGACGTGGTCTACACGGAATTCGAAAAAGCTTTCGACCGTGTGGACCATGTCATTTTACTGAATAAACTACAATTGTTAGGCATACATGGGGATTTACTCAGGTGGATAAAATCCTATTTGAGTAACAGATCCCAGGCTGTTGTAATAGGTGGATATAGATCGGACTTTATCAAAATACCAACAGGCATTCCTCAAGGATCACATCAGTGGCTTTTACTGTATAACGCTTATATTCACGATATTTCTACTTGTTTTAAGTTTTCACAACATTTAATGTACGCCGATGACAAAAAA